TGCCGGGACAGCCCCAGGAGGATTCCAGGGACCCTCATTTGTGCCGGGACAGCCTGCAGGGCCGGCGGTGCCCAGGGACGGCGCTGTGCCGGGGCCGAGCCGAGCCGAGCCGCGCCGGGCGGCGGGAGCAGCGCCGCGTCCGCACCGGGCCACGCCTGGGGCTGCGAGCGGAACACCGGGATCCGCACCGGGACCGGGATCCGCAGCGGCACCGGCACCTCCCGGGCTCGCCTCGAGTGCCAGCGGAGCACCGGGACCGGGACCCGCACCGGGATCCGCACCGGGACCAGGGCCCCCGAGCCACGCCTGGGGCTGCGAGCGGGGCACCGGCACCGGCACCGGGACCGGGACCCGCACCGGGACCGAGAGTCCCGAACCGCGGCTGGAGCTGCGAGTGGGGCACCGGGATCCGCACCAGGACCGAGACCGGAACTCGCACCGGGACCCGCACCGGGATTGATCGGGACCTGCACTCCCGGGCCACGCTTTGAGCCGCTGCGAGCCGGACACCGGCACCGGGACCGGGACCGGGACCCGCACCGGGACCGAGAGTCCCGAACCGCGGCTGGAGCTGCGAGCGGGCACCGGGATCCGCACCAGGACCGAGACCGGGACCGGCACCGGGACCCGCCCCGGGATTGATCGGGACCGGCACTCCCGGGCCACGCTTTGGGCCGCTGCGAGCCGGACACCGGGACCGGCACCGGAACCTGCACGCCCGAGCCGCGCCTGGGCTGCGAGCCGGACACCGGCACCGGGAACCGTTCCCGGGACAGGTAATGGGGCCGCCACCGGGATGGGATTCTCCCCCAAGGGGCTGCGACCCCGCGGAAGGGCCCCCGGAACCGCCGTGGGAAGCGGAGAGGGCACCGGGATCGGCCGGAACGGGAAGGGGCGACGGGACCATCCATCCCCCCTTTCAGCTCTCTGCTGCAAGCGGGGAGTCCTCCCGGGACCCTCCCAACCCCACCGGCACCACCGGGGTCCCAAACCCTGCCGGGTGCCACCAAACGCACCAGGACCCCCAAACCAACCGGGATCCCCGGGATCCCAAACCCTGCTGGGATCCCAAACCCTGCTGGGATCCCCTAACTCCACGGATCCTCGGGATCCCAAACCCTGCTGGGATCCCAAACCATGCTGAGATCCCAAACGCTGCTGGGATCCCCTAACTCCACGGAGCCCCGGGATCCCAAACCCTGCTGGGATCCCAAACCCTGCTGGGATCCCCTAACTCCCCCGATACCCGGGATCCCAAACCCTGCTGGGATCCCAAACCCTGCTGGGATCCCCTAACTCCCCGGAACCCCCACCCTTTCGCAGCCGTTGCCCCGGGGGTCGCTCCGGGACCGTCCCACCCAAAGGAGGGTCAGCTCCCACTTTTCCGCCCCATCCCGGGGGTCCCCAGAGCTCTCACCCAGTCCACCCCTGTCCCCACACACGCTGCCTTCTCTTCCGAGCCTCGGGACAGCCCTCGGAACGGGGGACCCCCGTTTTTGGGGTCTCGGAGCGGCCCCCCCTGCCCGGTCCCCGCCGGTGACGCAGAGCCGAGCGGTGCTTTCCCAACCGGGAAGTCGTTCCGCCTGTGCCGGTGCGGGCCGGGCCCAAAACCGCCCTGCCCGGGGCCACCGAGCAGCCCAGGTGGGCTGAGACCGGACATAGCGGGAGGGCCGAGGGTGTGCGGGGGTGAGACCCCGGCAGAGCGGGACATCGGAGCCGAGGAGAAGCTCCCGGAGCTGGGGAACACCCGGAGCCATCCCCCGCCGTCACCTTTGGAGAGAACGTGAGGCCCCGGCGGGTACCGGAGGGGTTTGGGGGCTGGAGGAGTTCGAGGAGGGGGTCATGGCTGTGAGAACACCCGGAGGTTTCCACCAGGATTTTCTGATGGCTCGTACGAGGCTGAGCCCTCTCTCCGGGCTCCTCAGCGAGGCTCCTGCGCTGCCCCGGGAGTGGCCGCCGTGCTGAATTTGGGGGATACCGCCCCAGCAAGGCCTTTCCGGGTCCCAGCCTTGCGGCGGGGGGCAGCTGCGGTGTTCCCTAAGGAAATGAGGCTGGAAGGAAAAGGCAGCCCCTCTTCCTCCGCCCCACAGCCGGGGGGACAGGGTGGGGACGGCCGGGGGTGCCGGGTGTGCAGCACCCGGGACGTGTCACAGCCTGCCTGTTCCCAGGAACGGGGTGCTGGCTTTAGGGACAGTTTGGGGGGCTCGGGGGGCTCCTCTGGCTGTGCCAGGCTGGCTGTGGGGCACGGGCACAGTGGGCACCCACTCCGTGGGTCCCAATGCCCAGGGAATGCCCAMTTGTGGGGTCACTCCACGAGCTCCCTGGGGCTGGATTCTGCTGAAAGCCCTGGCAAGGCCGCGGATGGGGCGGTGGGACAGTGCCAGGGATGGGCTCCGAGCCCCCATTTTTGGGGTTTGCCCCCGCGGCCCCAATGGGCTCCGAGCCCCCATTTTTGGGGTTTGCCCCCGCGGCCCCGATGGGCTCCGAGCCCCCATTTTTGGGGTTTGCCCCCGCGGCCCCGATGGGCTCCGAGCCCCCATTTTTGGGG